TGACCTAGTAACCCTTCACCATCCTCAGAAGGCATAAAAGGATTTTTATCCTTATCAAGTGTCCTTACAATCATAGGTGTACTCAAAGGATGTGCTTTCTCCATATAAAAACGTTTAAGCACTTTAGCAGTATAAACAGACTGATGTAAAAAGATGCCACTCTCGGTGTGCTCAATTCGTAAACCAAGACAAAACTTTGTCTTTCCAAGGTGTTTCATTTCAAATTCTTTCTTCAAGTAATTTGCAACTTTAGTGAGCTCTTCAGGAGTTCCAATCATATTTAAATCATCAACATAAACTGCAATGACTACAAACTCAAATCCACATCTTTTGATAAAAACACATGAGAATATTGGATCATTTAAATAACCTTCCTTTATCAGATATTCACCAAGGCGGTCATACCACATTCGTCCGGCTTGTTTTAAGCCATACCATGATTTACACAATTTAATTAAATAAAGCTCTCGAGAACCAAATCCTTCAGGAATCAGAAATCCTTCCGAGATTTTCTGTAAATTTAATTATCAAGTGACCATATAGATAGGCTATCACAACATTCATGAGACGCATTTCTAGTCTTTCACTTGTTGCCAGACTTAACAAATAGCGAAACGTTGTTGCATCCACCACAGGAGAATATGTCTCCTCATAATCAATACCCGGTCGTTGGGAAAAACCTTGTGCGATGAGACGTGCTTTATAACGCTCGATTTCATTTTTCTCATTTCTTTTTCGCACAAATACCCATTTGAATCCTACCGGTTGCACCTTCAGGTGTGCGCATTATTAGTCCAAAGACTTTACATTTTGCTAATGAATTTAATTATGATTGAATAGCGTCTTTCCATTTTGGCCAATCATTTCTTCGTCTGCACTCATCTACAGACCTTGGTTCTTGATCCTCATTTTCATTTATAATATTAACTGCTGCAACATAGGCAAATTTATCATTGACTTCTGTTGTACATCGGTTCCACTTTTGTCTCATCATAACATAATTAATTGAGATCTCAAAACTTTCAGGTACATGAACCTCTTCAAGAAGTTGATTTTCTGTTATGTCGGGATCTTTTATTGCCAAAGTTTCTTCAGGAAGCTTAACAACCTCGAATTGGCCATCTTGAGTGTTTGCTCATTTTCGTTTACGAGGATTTTTATCTTTAGAACCGATTGGTCGACCACGTTTTTGTTGCGCCCGTAATTCATGATTTATGGTAGAAGGTCCTTCAGGGACATTAATTTGGGCAGGAGCATTAATAGTTGGTATATGTGATTTAGTCACACGTTTCAAGTCAGTAAAAGTATCTGTCAATTGATTTGTTAATCGATGCAAATGAATTATTTTTTGAACTTCTAGTTTACATTGCCTTGTACGAGGATCAAGATAAGATAATGAAAATTCATTCCAACTAATGTTTTAACCAACTGTTTATTTTCTCCCCCTAATATTAGAAAAACTTACTCATCAAAATGACAATCAGCAAAATGAGCCGTAAATAAATCTCCAATTTTTTGCTCAAGAAATTTTATGATTGATGGAGATTCATATGCAACATATATTCCCAACCTCCTTTGAGGTCCCATCTTTGTTCGTTGTGGTGGAGTAATAGGAACATATACCGCACAACCAAAAATTCTAAGATGGGAAATGTTTGGTTCATGACCAAAAACCAATTGTTGGGGGGAGTATTCATGATAATTTGTTGGCCTGATACGAATTAGTGTTGCGGCATGTAGCACAACATGCCCCCAAGCAGATATTGGGAGTTTAGTTCTAATGAGTAAAGGCCTCGCTATCAACTGGATGCACTTTATAAACGATTCTGCCAGACCGTTTTTTGTATGAACATGAGCTATAGGATGTTCAACTTTAATCCCAATGGACAAAGAATAATCATTAAAAGACTAAGATGTGAATTCACCCACATTATCCAAACGTGTTTTCTTAATAGGATTATTTAGAAAATGTGCTCGTAACTGAATCAACTCACTAAGTAATTTCGCAAATGCCAGGTTGCGAGTTGATAATAAAGATACATGGGACCATCTAGTTCATGCATCAATTAAGACCATAAAATAATGAAATAGACCACAAGATGGGTGAATCGGCCACAAATATCACCATGTATACGTTTGAAAAATTGAGGAGACTCGGTATGAATTTTCATTGGTGATGGCCTTATAATTAACTTGCCTTGAGAACAAGCAGCACAAGAGAATTCCTTGGCTTGAAGACTCTTCTGGCTCTTTAAAGAATGACCATAAGAATTCTCTAAAATTCTTTGCATCGTAATAGAAACGAGATGGCCTAACCAGTCATGCCAAACAACAAAATCATCATGATTAGTAAACTTCTGGTTTACCGTTGCATAACTTTCAATTGTAGTAATATATGTGTAATATAATCCGGAGGAATATGAAGGTAATTTTTCTAAGACATTTTTATTTCCAACAACATTACTCGTAATATACAAGTACTCAATGTTACCTTCACAACAAATCTCTATGTGATATCCATTTCGGCGAATATCTTTCAAACTTAACAAATTTCGTTGAGACTTTGGGGAATATAATGCATCATTAATACAAAATTTAGTGCCTCTAGGTAGTATTATATTTGCTCTTCCGGAGCCTTCAATTAATTTTGTACTCCCAGATATTGTACTAACATGGGATTTTTTCAACACTATATGAGAAAAGTATTTTCTCTTTGAGTATTGAATGTGTTGTTGCACTGTCTACTAGACATATTTCTTTGTCATTACAGGTTGCGACATCCATTATCTTCAAAAGTAAAAGATTCTAAATAAGAATATTTTTCTTTATTTAATAGAAAAGTAAGTAATGGACAATAAAATAAACATGAAAAGGAAATGTTTTATTGAAATTCATCAAATGAAAATAAAATTCACTACATCAAATTCAAAATATAAAACCTATCTCTAAGGGAAAAATCCTATCCCTGAAAGATATTTTTAGCATTGACTTCACCTTCAGGATGATTGACAAAGAAATCAGCAACATCTAAACTAGCAAATTCAGTAAAACCATTGTCAACAAAACCATGGTTAACATCAACAACATCATTCTGGATGAAATTTGTCTCTATCTTCTTTTCTGCTTTCTTCAGTGATTCCTGATAGAGATCTGCAAGATGTTTTGGCGTACGACAGATACGCCACCAATGGTTTGTCATGCCACATCGAAAGCATTTGTCACCATCTTTCTTTTTCTTTCCATTCTTATCATCGTTGACTCCCAACTTCTGGTGGGTAGTATTTTTGTTATGACCACCACGGTCGTTATGACGGTTTTGATTACGACCACGGCCCCGGCCATGACCACGGCCTCGAGCTTGTCCATTATTAGGATGAGATGCTATCACATTTGTTTCAGGAAATGGAGCAGCACCTGTTGGACGGGCCTCATGATTTTTCAGTAAGAGGTCATTGTTTTGTTCAGCAAGAATTAGGATAGAAATCAATTCTGAATACTCTTTATATCCCTTTTCACGATATTGCTGCTACAGAAGCACATTAGATGCGTGAAATGTGGTATATGTTTTCTCAAGCATCTCCATATCAGAGATCTTTTCACCACACAATTTCAATAGGGAAGTGATTCGAAACATAGCTGAATTATATTCACTCACAAATTTAAAATCTTGCAAAGGCAAATGCATCCACTCATAGCGAGCTCTTGGGAAAATCACAGTTTTCTGATGGTCATACCTTTCATTCAAACTCGTCCATAAAGTATATGGATCTTTCACCGTCAAGTACTTTACTTTCATATCTTCATGAAGGTAGTGACGGTAAAAAATCATGGCTTTGGCTTTCTCCTGATTTGTGGCATTGTTTCCAGCTTTGATTGTTTCTTCTAAGCCATTTGAAGTAAGATGGATCTCAGCATCAAGAACCCAGGACAACTAGTTCTTCCCGGATATGTCAAGAGGGACGAATTCAAGTTTTGCAAGGTTAGACATCTTGATAAAAGAAACAAAAGCAATTTACAACACTTACCCAACCGAAACTAGCAAGAGGTAGAGACTCGTGCTGATAACGTGTTATAAATATAAAGTGAAGAATAAAGCTATAAAGCTGAGAGAAAGAACAAGTAGGGAGAGAGAGAATAGAGAGGGAGAAATAGAGAATGATCTGTGTATTATTTCTGCAGAGACTGCTCTCCTTTTATAGGCATAGGATCTAAGGTGAAAAAGCTATAAAGCTGAGAGAAAGAACAAGTAAGGAGAGAGAACAATAGAGAGGGAGAAAAAAGAATGTATCATTTCTGCAGAGACTCCTCTCCTTTTATAGGCATAGAAGATACAGAGATAAGAGCAAATAGAGATAATATCTAACTGGTGATAATATCTAATAAATATTATCTCTATACAAAGAATTCCTATACTATTTTACTAGTTTGTGGACATCCACACATTATCAGATAATTATAACAATTTGCATTTTCTTTTATATAATAACTCTAACTTAGACTTCTTCAAAAAAAAAAAAAAAAACAACCTCTTAACTTAGAAGGTCGGAGTTTTTCTTTTACGTGACAGAATAAGTTAATTAATCATTTTTTGTTTTGTCACCAACAAATGTTTCAGTCATCGAAATTTATGAGTATGAAATCATGTAATTGGTAAATGACTTTCATAGCGGGACTGGTTTATAAGCAGTAGTATCACCTCATTTGTGTCTAGGAGAAAATCAAATGTAACATTGAAAAGAGAAATCTATCATTTTTTTTCCTATTTTTTTAGTAAAAAAAAATCGCAAGAAACTACAACTTCTGAAATTAACCACCATCATGATCATCAAGATATGTGGTTTAAAGACCCTACTAGCAAGCTTAACATAAAACAATGCAGCTATCTTAACTCAAGTACTAAAGCAATTAACAAGACAATTCAAAGTTTCAAACCCTACAAATTAAATGATTTTTTTTTTCTGGTATGAATCACCGGCTCAAAGATGAGGGCATCCAAGACCTCAACTCGTGTCGTTCGTCGGTTGGGTGGACGGAGAAAGACCTAAGGCGTCCAAGTTCAGATATTGCTCGATCCCAACTTCATGATCTACATTATTGTTCAGTGCGTCCGACAATGCTCCATTTTGTTTAGAATTGAAACCGGTACAACTTTCAGTCCTAAAAGTGAAGCTTTCGGGCGGAGAAACTCCAAAAATTGCCGAGGTTGAATCTGGGATTCCAATCTCATTACTAGTCATCATTTTCTTGTGCTCTTTTTTTAGCACAAGCAATTCCTTCAACCTGGTTATTTCAGCCCTATTCCCGTCAATCTGCCCTGTAATTTTTTTTTTTTAAAAAAAAAAGTGTTCTTTTTTGGTCAGAATAAGATATGCAAATTAATATGAAAATTAAGGAGAGGCAAATTCAAGAATGGATGGTTAGTCAAATTACTGTTGCAAATGATAGATTGATCCATGCATCGATTCAGTTTTTGTTCCAAAACGGTCCTCTCGTTCTTCAACTCGGCTTGCTTCAGCTTTAACATCTCCAATGTGGGGTTTAGAAATGCCATATGATCCTGCGAGAACGTAAAACAAAGCCCCAAAAGAATTGGAAATGAATATATCAATAAAGAAATAGATTCACAATCTCTAAATACTTATTATTATGCAAATTTATTTTATGAACCACCACATTACTCAATCCTGAATACTCCCTCGTGTCTTTATTATAAGGCATTTGGATTTATATTATATTTTACTTAAAATATCTTTTTAATTGAGAAAAAAACCTTTAAAATATTTCATAATAATTAGAAAAACACAAAGAATGTGAAAATATATTTTTAAAGTTTTTTTTCCACCTAAAAATACATCTTCTGTAAAATTTATAATTAACAAAATAAAAACGCCTTATAATAAAGACCAGAGAGAATACCTAACAAGATTTATTTATTTATTTTTGTTTTCTAACGACACAGATTGGGCTCGAACTCAAATTTCACAATTAAAATAATCTCTCGGATTTAAATAAGTTAATATTATAACAATAAAATATACCTCTAACGCCTTTATTCTTTTCTTCATTCCTGCAATGTAATTTAATTTTTTCACTCTTGACCTTTGAGCCGAGAGCCGATTAGATATCGTCCTAAAATTGAAACATTAAACAGCCACCGACCAAAAAAAAAAAATGATTAAAGCAAACGAGTAATCATTCTAAAATTTAATATAAAATTAAAAAAAAATAACATTAAACAAAATACTAGCAATTTTACCTCCTGAGTTTTTTCTCCTCATCAGGCTCGCGTCCAGATTTCTCAATTTTAAGGGCTTCCTCGAGCGTGGGAATAGACGGTCCTACAAATTCCATCTTCATCAAGCTGCCATTATTCTCCGGCGGTGGCGGGTTCGCGTGGTTTTGCATTAGCATTCCATTTATTCCATCAGCCAGTTCTTCAAGGTTGACGCGCGGCAAAACGTCGAGGTTTAAAGCCGTTAATTCTTGTCCGTGCGGCGGTGGTGCAACCGAAATGCTTTCACCCGCCGCCACCAAATTCATGCTTCCATCAGCCGGCGCCACCACGGGAGCATGCTCAATCGTGGTTTCGGCTGGAAGGGTTGACGGAGGCGACGACATTGTTAACGGCCGACGCGGAGGCTTGGAAAGAAACCGTCCATTCATCATTTCATCCATATTCTCCATCGGTTCAAATCAGCTCTGATGGATTAAAAAACCTGCACAGTAAAAACGAATCAATGTCACAAAAAAAAAATAAAAATGAAGAAGTGATTTGAGTACTGAAGCAAATGAAGGGTATACTAACGTCTTTTCCTTTGATTTTATGTGAGAGTCTACCTGCCTATATATGCACACAAACACATAGTTTATTTAGTTATTAATTTATGAGCGCACGAAGTAATTTTTTTTTAAGCACGGTAAATACATAAGTTAACATTTCTAATTGAATTTACCATCGACCGCTCCTCCATTTTACTATAGTCAAACCGATATTTTTTTGAGCTGAGATGGCCGTTTATATCCTACTTCCAAACGGGAATGCTCATCCATTGTTCCAAGGACAATGCATTATTACTTTGTTTTCCAATATTATTCGAACCAAAAAAATAATAATAATAATAATAATAAAAAATACATTCCTCATTACAAAGTTCAAACAATCTCTATTTTAATTATGCAAGTATGTTTATTGTTTTGAACGTATACAATTACATATATTTATAACTTCATTGGTTGTTTTATATTCTATCTTTTTATTCTGTACAATGGAATACGAAGTGTTGCACATACTTTGTCCGCTTTTAAGCTCACAATTTTTTTGTAATACATTTCTATTGTTTTTACAAACAGATTTTTTATCTTCAAATTAATCCAAATCAATGCTTTGAATTCATCCAAGTTAACTTTACCAATTCTATCATGACAAAACTCCTTAACAAGTTAAATCGTGGAAGTTTGACTCACTTTTCTAGACTCAAGTAATAATTACTATAAAAGAGCGAGTAATTCAAAGTCCACAGATACAGTTACGTATAGATTTAAATTTTTCGTGACATTTTATATATATATATATATATATATATATATACACACACCGATCATGGTATATATACTTCAAAGATTGTGATGCGTAGTGCCTCCCAGCTGATTTTGGGATTAGTTCTATCCATTTGATTTAGATAATCTCTTAATTACCTTCATTTGATTTTGTCAAAGACTATGCTAAGGTGGAGTAAGTTTTTCGGTCTTTTTATCTCTAAACAACGGTCATTTGTGGAATAAGTAACCATATAAAGACATTGAAGAACTGTCTCTCTTATAATGTAAATTGTGATTCTCTAACATGCCACAAAATGTCAAAATATATCCAGATTAATCCCAATTTTGGAAATGCACGTATTTAATATTATGATTATTCCATTCCACACGGTCCACAGTCCACACCAACCAAATTAGCCGAGAGAATAATCAATGACGTTCTTTTCTTTTTTCACGGAAAAAAAGTGAACCAATTACTTAGTTTCAATTGAGAATATTGATATCAATTTGCAACTAAAATATAGTCATTTTATGATATTTCCTATCCAAGTAGGTGCAGGAATAATAAATAATCAATAATGTTGAATTTATCTGTACCACCACTTGTAAAACTAAAAATATACATCCATAAATTAAAAAAAAAAATTGCTTGTGAAAGAACTACTATTTCGAAAGGTTAAATTTTCAGGTTTTTTTGATTAAAAAAAATTTCTCTAGTAAGTTACAAGTGACGCAATATGAAAAACAACTTTGTTTTTTCAAAAAAAAAAAATAAAATAAAAATTACTCCATTTTATATTAATGAAGAAACAACCATTACAAACGATTGATTTCCTAATAAAATAATTTTTTGCAACTTTTATACCAAATGGTATTCTATCTTTAATTAACTGATTTCTATTTTTTGTTCATTTCATTATTACTATTGATATGCTATCGTTACTGTGCTAGAGCATAAAATTGGATATGCTATTGTTTACTGTCGTTTATTATCTTCCTGTTATCGAACACAATATAAAACACTCTCAAGTGTGATGAATTTGTTTAAGTTTGTAATAGTTTATTCATGATCATCTATAGTCGGTGATATTCTTCACCGGTCAATGTTAGTTAATTTATATCAACTGAGGAAGCAAATGACATTTCACTAGGAGAAATACAATTTGCTACGACTGCACTTGGCAACAACATTTACTAAGCGAAGTTTCATATTTGCATAACCAACGGAAAACGTCTATATATATCCTAACCTGCAAATGAAGCTTGACAAGAATGACTGTTTTACCTCAAGCATTTCTTGCGATCTTAAAACCTCTAATACACTCTCTATTAGAGTTGTTAGTTGCACATCTTGCTATGGTTTATAGACTTAGATTATTCTTTTAGGAAAAGAAAAAAATTGCTTTACCACTTCCGAAATGAACATCTTGTGGGAGAATTCTGTAGACTTTGTGGATTCTTATACTCCTCGTTCGTGTTGAGGGTCATGTGGCAAGGATTGTGAATCAACATCGGAGGCATGAAGACATGTGAATCACTTAATAAGTAAGGTGGACTCAAAACTCATTAGCTTGAACTTTTGAGTTCAGATGGGTCTTATCTTCCTTATTGGAGTCCATGTCGGATTTTTTCCTCCGAATAAATCCCCAACACTTCGATCTTAAAATTATTGTCTAATTTAAAATTTTACTTATTATAATACAAATATTTCTTAAAAAAAAACTCAAAACGATAATAATTTTTGGTTGGAATGAGTATATGAAAATATTCTACTACTCTCCATTGTTTTCACATCATGACGAAACTTTGTAAAGGATAGAATCTGTGGTGTATGGGCCCAATATTACCTAGGTATTGGCCTAGTTCTTTAACATCAACTTCCAGTTTCATAACTAATGTAAAATGAGACCCAAATGAAAAGAATGAAGAAAAAAACCAGCCCACAACACCATCCTTCTTTGTTCTTGGTTATACTTACCTTCACAGCTTCACTTCACCTATAACACCGAAAAAAATGGCTCCTGGGTTTGGAGTTTTGACTTTTGAGAGTTTGGAGCCTGGAGGAGAGTCGGATTTGACTTGTAGTTTCACTGTTTATTAAATGATCAACAGAACATGGGTGCTGTAATAATTGCCACAACTACTACTAGTAGTTCATTACTTGAACTCAGCAGACTCAACAAATCGGTAAACGTCAATTCCCTCCGGTTGGATCTCCGGCACCAACCCCGTTTCTTAATTCCGGTTCTTTCTCGTACCCAATCATCATCTTCATTCTCCTCTTTAACTCCGTTCTGTAATCCCTTGTGTTTCAATTTGAAACTGAGCTCATCAAGGAGAGCAGCAGCAGCAGCAGCTTTGCCGATGTTTTCCGACACCCCAATTGTGGCGGATGTTGTCGCCACGGCATTGACCGGTGGTATTGCGCTCTCCCTGCTTCAGTTCTGGGGAGAGATTGCCAAAATGGGTCTCCTTGATCAGGTGGGGTCTGTTTCCTTCATTACCCATCTGTTTGATGCTTTGCTTCTGTGCGATTTTCATCTTTGCTGTTGTTTGTTTTTTCGCATGTAGTTTACAATTTTATAGTTTTCGTCAAGTGTTTCAGTTTCAGCACTTCAAATGTAAACAGTGATTAGCTTGCTTAGTGTTCTTCCCGATTTTGCCCAATTCTTATGTCTGCATATTTTTCCTGTTTTAGAAACTAAGTAGGAAGCTTGTGCATATTAGCGTTGGGCTAGTTTTCATGCTTTGCTGGCCAATGTTCAGGTAATTTCAACTTGGTATTGCAGAATAAACGATGATCTCTTGTTTTGAAACCTTAGTTTCAATTGGGCATTTGTTGATTGTTACAGGCCTGGTTATCATGGAGCAATTTTAGCAGCTTTGGTTCCTGGTATCAACATAATCAAAATGCTTGTTTTGGGACTTGGACTTTGGAAAGATGAGGCAACTGTCAAGTCCATGACCAGACTTGGTGATCACAGGTCAAGTCAGTACCCCAAGATTTCCATTTTAAGTTTAGGCTGGACGCATTTCATTGGGTTTTCAATGGTTTTAAGGAAAGATAAAAAAAAGGTTCTAAATTTGTGTTGGTAGAAGTTCTTTTTCAGATCATTCTTTCTCAGCAGATGCAGTATAAAAACTGTTGACTGCTTTGTAGGAAGTGAAATGGCACCTAATCAAATTAGCCCTAAAGTGTATTTAACTCCTTATTTTGAGAGCAAAAGTACCAGTTTTATACAACCTTTGGATACAAAACCGATAGTACTCCTTGGAACTTAGAAGAGATTATGATTGCATAACAACTATTGAGGAGCAATCAAGACCTGATATATATTCTATTTTATTGAACACTGATGTGACCGGCACATTCTGATGTCTGCTGCTTTAGCAATATGATTTTCAAACACACTTGCATACTGATGTTAAACACCATTGAGCTATTAGGTTTATGAAAAGAAAGGATGTCATGAACAATTGTTTAAAAAGACCCTGAGCTTCTGTTCTCTAAAATCAATTGGCTAGTTGCCTCACGTCTCAGCTGGGCTTCTTACATTATATTTCCTAACTTTTGCTTCAGGGAACTTCTTAAGGGGCCACTTTACTATGCTACAACAATCACTTTAGCTTGTGCTATCTATTGGAGGACTTCTCCGATTGCAGTTGCAGCAGTTTGCAACCTTTGTGCCGGAGATGGTATGGTTCTTTGGTAAATTAGCATGCTTCTATTCCTTAAAATGATAGTTTTGAGTGTCATCCTTCTGGCTAATTGAACTAGGAAGCAACAAATTATATAGAAACGTTTATGCCCTTGCAAATTTTTTTTTTCCAGGTATGGCTGATATTATAGGGAGGAGGTTTGGACATGTAAAGTTACCTTACAACATAAACAAATCTGTTGCCGGCAGTTTGTCGATGGCAGTTGCTGGTCTACTTGCCTCCATCGGGTAATTTCTCATTCAACTCTTTAGAAACATTTGTAAATTGGTTGCTAGACTTTTTCCTTAATGATTATCATAACAGGTTTATGCACTACTTCTCTTTGTTTGGATACGTTGAGGAAAGTTGGGAAATGGTATACAAGTTCTTCATCATTTCTGTTTCTGCTGCATTAGTCGAATCTCTCCCTATAAGCACAGAACTTGATGACAATCTAACAGTTCCCTTAGCCTCCCTTGTGGTGGGCACTATTCTATTTTGATGCTGAAGGTAACAAGAGGCAGTGTTTTGAGCAGCAGTAGTTTCACTTGCCAATATAATATTCGTAGTGACTGTGTAGAGGGTCCAGTTCCATTTGGACACATTTATTCAATTCTGTTGTACCTATTCTTGCTGGATCCTTTTGACAATCTAGGTGTAAAATCTCATGTAATAGTTAATTTTACGTAGACCTGTAATGTCATTATTGTTGTTTGTTTGTTCAAAAAAAGCTGTTGTTTTAGCCTTTATATTTGAAGAGATTGAAATTGAAATTAGAACGGGAGTTTGCAACTTGGCTTGGCTTTCTTGCAAATTATCCATAATGTCGACTTTCATTTCTCATCTAACAAAAATAACACAACATTTTACAAATAACGGGCTGTTATGCTGTTCATGCAGATCCCGAGTTGTCTTTTGACGAAGGAAAAAAAAAAAACTGATCCACTCCCACTTTCACTTCGTCTAACAAAGCTGCCACTTCGATGATTTCCTGCAAATGACATTGGTGTAAACTAATGATACTCCAGCTGGTAAGTAACTGCGACCATAAGGCTTTTCATGATCCTATCATGGGCGAATGAATATACCTTATTCACTAGATTCCAGTATCCACAGTTTGTTGCGACGTGTATGAAGTCTTATCCACGTCCATATCTTACGTAAGAACATGGGAGAGAAAAGGATCAAATATCAGTAAGATAGCCTACACAAATAACGTCAACTGAAAGCAGAGTTCAAACCTCAGCATATAAGCGCTCCCTCTCTGATAACTCTGCCTCAACATATTCACTATTCAATAAAGGCAGGGCTTCTCTCTGCAACTTGTATCAAAGACAAGCAAACATCTCAAAACAGATATCAAAATCAAAACTACAAAATATTTAAAACAGCAGGGAACATATCTAGAGCTGAAAGGATGATAAGATACATGAAAACACACATTCTGGACCGCCCTTGCTTCTTCTACTCATCCATAAGATTGGAGCGTAACTCAAGTTAGCTACACATATCTTAATTTCAGTGGAAATGGATACAAAAGCAATTACTTATTTACGTCACAGCGGCAGCTGTACACTTACAGAATTGGTTGAATCACTTCAATTTGGTTAAGTAATTGCTATACCACCAAATTTCACTATTGGAGATTGCAAGTGTAGAAAATATAGAAATATATATATATAAAACCAGATGTGATTTAACTAATATATGATGAAGGAAATAGTTCACAAGTTTTACACTGTAACACTTAAAATTGGTCATCAATGCAAGAAATTTTTTCTTTTTGTAATTTGGGTAATGCCAGCAACCCCCAAGAGAAAGTTATTTTATAGAAATATTGCGTCCACTTTTTCCCTTTCAGCAACTGCGAGGTTGGGCATTGTTATCTATTTCTCTCTAAAACATGATCGATGAACCACATGTTTGTCATCAGTGAGACGATAAAAACTTTAAAAGTTGAATTCCATTCAAAAATGGCTAATCAACATTGTGATCTTACTTCACCGAGAAAGAGAGAATGCATAACATGTGATCTTACTTCACAGATGAAAGCAACAGACAAAGACAGACTAGGCACCGTTGTTCCACAAACTCTTCACTATAAAGTGAGAAGTGTTTGTAACTTCAAGATAATACCATCCATGAAATGATCCAAGCAGAAAAACAACCCAATACAGAAGTATGTCCATTCTAGTTTTGCTAATAGATTTCAGTTCCATTCAGATCTCCAGCCAAGCAGTCAAAGTTGATGTTAACAGCAAGGTCGCAACAAGAAAAGGTCAAAGTATTACCTGCAAAACATTGCCCTCTTGACCGTACATCAGAGGCATTAGGATCCTCGTTTCACTTAATGAGAACCCTGAGAGTATTGCATCTCACCCCTGGTCAAAACGAGAGCCCTGAGAGTATTGCACCTCATCCTGCTCTAATGATTGGGGAGAAAAGAGACTAGTTTCCCACACATTTGCAGTTGGAAATCAACCTGATATACGTAATAATTTAGTGACCCGAGGATGACACGAATCCAACAAATAATCAATAGTCAAAGGTAGCTTTTTGAGTTAAAGAACCTAAGCAGTTAAATTTCCCCTTAAGTCAATATATATGTCTGAAGATGATAAGACACATAATATTTTCTGATCATTACACCTTCATAATGTATAATCCCGTAACAATTTTCAGAAGCTTTGTATCACACTTTTCATAAAAGATGAGCAAATGCCTTTCAGAATCAGGAATAAAACAGAAGAAAACAAAAATAGATGGAAAGCAATCAGCCATAAGACAAACAACTCATACACGTCTAGAGAATACAGAAACCTCTGACATAGTCTACTCTATTGATATTCAGCTTCCTTTATTTCAAATTTGCAACCTACTTAACACCAACTTCTTCCTGATCACTAATCGGATGAAGTACAGTTTTGATTAAAGATATATAGTCAATTATACGATTTTAGGCATCAAGAAGTTGAAGATTAAATCCATAAAAAGGTTCACCAACCTGCATAAATAAATTCTTCAACAGGATCAAACTGGGGCTGAGAGCTCATTTTGAATTGATGGCACTCAATCTCCATATGAAGACTCAAATTATTAAGGACACTATAGATATCCTTCATCTCAGAATCTAGTGCTTTTCCTGCTAAGAAAGTATGCACCTTCTTGTAAACTTCAATCCAACTGTATCCCGGGCTTTTCTTTAGGCCTGTGGTCTTTACTGAGTATCTCACTTTGGCAGAATCCTCCCATTTCCCATTTGCAGCATACAAATTAGAAAGTAACATGTAGCTGCCAGTACTACAAGAATCAAGGTTGAAGATTTGGGCAGCAGTTGTTTCGGCAATGACTTCGTTTTTATGCAACATACAGGAGTTTAAAAGGGCTCCAAGTACGCATTCATTGGGATCTATAGGCATGCTTTTCACAATTTGTATGGCATCAGATACTAATCCAGCACGGCCAAGTAAATCAACCAAGCACGCATAGTGTTCAATTTTAGGCTCAATTCCAAAGTATCTAGTCATTCCATCAAAAAGCTTGCGACCCTCAGTGACAAGTCCAGCATGACTACAGGCAGAAAGAATAGCAACGAAAGTAACCTCATTTGGTTTAACTCCAATGTCAGTCATGTCATAAAAGATCTTTAACGCATTATCACCAAATCCAAGCATCCCATACCCAGCAATCATCGTATTCCATGAGAACAAATCCTTAGAGTCTAAACTTTCAAAAACGAAATTAGCGTCTTTTGGGCTACCACATTTCATATACATATTTATCAATCCATTTCCTATAAAGATATTTTTGTCAATCAGAACTCTGATTACATGAGCATGGATTTCTTTACCTACACCTAGAGCAGACAGACCAGAACAAGCAGTTAAAACACCAGCAATGGTAACATGGTTAAATGCTACTTCAACAATCTGCATTCGACGAAATAGTTCCAAGGACTCCTCAAACCTTCCCATTGCTGCAAATCCACCGATGACAGAACTCCAACTGATAACATCTGGTCTCATCATTGCATTCCCACCATGTAATTTTTCTAATTGTGAAAAGACAGCTAAGGCTTCGTCGCAAAACCCTGATTCAGCATAAGAAGAAATCAATGTATTCCAACTAACTATACTTTTGTACTCCAAGCTGGAGAAAAGGATCTCGGTTTCTCTCTTGCAACCATTTCTCCCATACATACATATAAGAGAGTTCACCACAAATGAATAATTACAGAAGCCACCCCGTACAATGAATCCATGAACACTTTCACCTGTGACAAACGTATTCATATCAGAACAAGAAGACACAGCTACTGCAAGTGCTTCAGCAGTAACCTCTATGCTTTCTACCCTCATTGTCTTATAAAACCTCAGCACCTCACTGTAACGCCCGCATTTATAAAAACTAGACAACAAAGATGTCCAAGTCACAGAATTTGGCCGACATTCTTCAGATTCCATCTTAGCAAAGATCAGATAAGCATTACCACAATCAAAATTATTAGAAAACCCTGAAACCATAGTATTCCAAGAAATCAGAGTTTTTGCCGACATCTTATCAAATATTATACGTGCAATAGCCATTCTCCCAATCTTTCCATACAGCCCTAACAACTCATTGCATACATGAACATGTTGCTGAAAACCCATATGCACAACATGGCCATGGACAGTCGCACATAATCTACTCCGACTAATCTCACCAATGGAAGCATTTTTACAAGCCCTGAGAATCAAAGGAAAACCGAACCCATCAGGATTAAACCCAAGGTTTCTCATCTTGCAGTACAACTTAAGAGCCTCCTCATACTCTCCCTGCGTAACGTTACCCCGTAACATCGAATTCCACAACAGCATGTTCCCTTTAAACCCACGCCCATCAAGACTCGAAAATTTTTCAAACACTTTACGTGCATCACCAAGAAGCCCAAATTCCGTATAAGCAGCAACCAGCCTAGCTGCCAAGAGAGGCGAGCAATTAGCAACGGTAAGTATGATTTGGGAGTGAATTTGCTTGATTTGCTTGACCCCATTGCTGGGTTGTTGAAGGAGGTGGTGGAGGAAATCAATGAGCCCATTACCAACGTCAAAAGAAGCAGGAGTATTTGTATAACAACGTCGCCGATACCGGCCGATATGTACAGTTTCCGAACGGAATATGGTGGAGGGTAAGTGATGAAATATCGGATTCGATGCAGAGGAAAAGGCAGCAACATTCAGCATTGACTCCCAGTGAAACTACTGTATATCTTCGGACATTGCAAATTTGCAGATCAGAGCAGCTTTTGATTTTTCCCATTTAAATAGCACCTGGCGAAGCCGGGCCGTATCGTTTATATCTTGAATATTAGGCTCATGGTCTGTTGGGCTTCGTGTGTCATCCCGGGTTTTGCTCGATCCATATGCCCAAATCTTAACCAACACTTGTTTGACCAAAGTGGTAAGGTGCTTTGGTTCCCTTAAGCGAGATCTCGGGTTTGAATCTCGTAAATGGAAAAAGCAATGTTAGGAAAGTTTTCCCTCCAAGAAGAGCCTGATTAGTCTGAGTGCAAAGCACTCAAGACACCGTAATATGTTAAAAAAAAAAACCCAAATCCTCAATAATTTTTCATCACATGTTAAAATGAATAATCAATTTGGATTATTCGAAACAATTACTCTCCCTAGTCCTCATTATAAGGTAATTTAATTTGTTTTAAATTTTATGTACTTAATATATTTTTCAAATCAAAAATAAAACCTTAAAAATATTTTACAATAATTGAAGTAACAAATAAATGTGGAAATACATTTTTAACAATTTATTTTCAATGAGAATAACATGCTAAATGAAATTTATGACAAATCAAAATGTTTAAAAACCGAAAAGAGTACTTTTAACTATCTCGTAACCTTTAAATGCATAAATCCATGAATGTAAGATTATAATTCAATATCTTCGTAAAATTATCTTGCACAAATCATTATCCTACTCTTCAACTCTACTTACAATTGTTGAGAATTGTGACATGTGACGAAGGGATTCGTTTTCCATGTGGAATGATTGTCCTTCAATTGTTGTTGTGGGGAGCTTTGGCTGTTAACATCATCAGTGCACAAACAACCGGGGGAGGTGGTGGTAGAATCACAACATTTCGTACCTAACACGGCTTCGAATGGGGCTTCTGCAAACTTTTTTTTGTCCAGACTCCCGACTAACATTACTTGCTTTTGAAATTCTTGGGTTTTCTGTCCTTCATTTTTGGTTTTTTTTTTTTTTTCTAACAAATATGGACGCGAAAGCATATATAGAAACACCAACTACATAACGAGGATTGTCATCGATCCTTGAACATCGTGAGCTAGTAAAAAATAAAAATTTAAATTAGACAATTATTTTGAAAAACGGAAGGAATATAAAGCCCGACCTATTGCTTTGAAATGGACAAATCCAATGAATCTTTTTGCAGTGTTCCCATATTTCTCTGTCCATTCGAGATAGAGAAGCTCAAGAAATAGAGGAGGAAGAGGAATGGTTGCACACTCGCAACTTGCAAACAAACTATAAAATCAAAAGAAACCTTATCCATTCCTTTTTTTTTTTTTTAACTGATATTTTGAGACTTACCAGTAAATGTAGTAATACATGTATACTAATGTTGTCGAGATGATTTTATGGTTGCACAACATTGGGTGGCTCTTTCTTTCCAAATTTGCAGAAACATGAGTTTTGATTTAAAAGGCATTATTGAGTGATGTGTGTGTATGAAACTTGAAACTATAAAACTTGAAAGCATGAATGGTAAAAGCAATATATTCCATCCATCCATCCTAATTCCTAATTCCTAGAATGATTACAACAAAAAGAAAAAACTATTGTAAGATGAAGGGAGTAACTGGACATCCAAAAATAAATAAATAAATAAAATTTGCATCAATAAATTTTCATTTGTTCATCCAATTCCATTCTATTCCTACAAAATTAGCTCATTTACAACCGAGTAAGTGAAATCTACTCAGAAAAGGTGTCATGATTAGTAGACAATTATTCACCTGCTCTGGGATGACCGGAACAATTCTCTCTGGAACTATTCACATGATGACTCAATGTTTCGCGTGTCGGTGGATGGAAATTGTCGCCTGGATCGCCTGATGCAAGGGATGATGAGGAAGAGGAGGAAGACAAGAAACATAGAGATGGCTGTGAATGCAATGATTTCTCCATGCACGAAGTATTTCGGGTCAGAAAGCTGCTGCTGCTGCTGCTGGTGGTTGAATTCATCAACTTCATCAACATCTCCCCTGTTCGGAGGAAGACTAGCAGGGGATAGTTCAATTCTTCGGCTAATTGCCGCTTCTTTCACCATTGCTCTGCTGGAGGTTTTGGCTGTTTGAACTTTTAGGGAATATTCCAGTTTTTAGATACAAAATACAGAAAGATATGCTAATTTTTACATTACAAACAAAAACCAAAATGAAAAAGAATTGACCTTTACTCTCTGTACTGTTTTGCTCTGAGTCGTTTTCTGGAAGCGGACCCAGAAAATGATACGGCCTGACGGGTTACCCAGTTTTAATGTACTGAACCCCATAAGAAAGTAACTGCAAATTAACCTGCGTCCATAAGTTCTTGGATGTGGTAAAGATCAATCTTTCTCTTCTGGTCTTTCTGTTGGCAAAAGGACAGGGATGGTGGAATTGATCTCAACGTGTGTTTTTTGAGGTACATTTATTGTATGAAATCAGAGGGGAAGAATCCAATGAGAAGATGGAAGGGCATACATAGAGATTAATCAGTTGGATTTATTAGCTGAGTTTGACGTTTAGCCATCAACCATCACTCGTAGTTAGTTAATCTTTTTGGAATGGGGCAGAGAGGAGAGTGCCCATGAAAGGTGGAGGTTAATTCAATATTCTATCACATCATCACATAAGTTAGATTTTGGATATACAACAGGAGCCTCTACCTATTCGATTGTGTTTTTGCCATCAAAATTGTTTTAAGGGACAAATTGAACATAATTTCCAGCCATGACTTCATGTGATTCTCAGACGAGTTATTCAGATATGGTAAAAGGTATACATGTGTCTAACACAAAGTAAACTTTTTATGCACTTATAAAGTGAGGGTGAAAAATTACTGATAATTCCGTGTTTCAATCACGGTTTGATCTCACTTGATAGGATAATCTAATTAACAGAACCCTGGTCTGGTTGCCACCAGAGAAATCGAATAATTAGTAGCAAAATTCATTTTACTATAAACAATATCAGTTCAATCTCTCATTCTCGAGGTAACAACTCTTTCACCGCGGTAACAAAAAAATCCATTTAACTCATGTTAGCGCTCCCGGATCCATGGCCATTATAAGAGCAAGTAAGCTATCAACTTCGGCTTTCACATGTCTGACTGTTGAAGTATTTATCCCACATTGGTGTCTGGAAACACTTTATATCAGTATATAAGCACCATGAGTTACTCCCTTCATTGCCAATTGGTTTTGAGGTGGAACTCCATAGGCTTCTATATGGTATTAGAACGGGCTCGGCCTGTGGTGATTTTAAGCCCACGATGTTATTCTGTGGTCCAATTTAAGCCTGCGATATTATTCTGCGGCCCGTGATGTTATTCTACGGTTTATTTCCTGATCCTGGTGATTTAGGTCCAAGCCTAATGTGTTGAAGTATTTTTAGGTCCAAGCCCGTTGGGCTTGAGGGGGAGTGTTAAAGTATTTATCCCACATTGGTGTCTGGAGACACTTTATATCAGTATATAAACACCATGAGCTACTCCCCTAATTGCCAATTGGTTTTGAGGTGGAACTCCATAGGCTTCTATATTGACATCTCAAATCTCAATCCAACTAAAAGCCTCTGCTCTGACAATCGAACAAAACCATATGTTCACGAATAACTATTACTCACTCCGTCCCAAAATGATTTGCAGATCGGATTATTTTTAGTACAATTTAAACTAAAAATAAAAAGTTAAACTAGACAATAATTTTGAGATGGGGGACTATCATTGAACACCCCGACGATAACTCTCCAATTACCCCTTACTCATGTTTTAGCTACAAAATGGTAGAGACAATTGGACCCAAACATAGTTGGTCCTGACCGAAAGGTGCGTTATGCAGTCACGAGAGCAACCCTGCCGACTTGGGCGTGTCAACTCGATATCGACATCAAACATCCGATCCCCCAACTAAAAAGTAGTACATCTCTCAAATGTTGTTGGATTAAAAAAGTTAACTTCAATTATTATTTTATTTTATTTTTTACATACGTATTCGGTATCCAGCCGCTTCCGTTACACTCGTGGGTGTCGATTGACCGTTGACTAATCCGAACTCGAGACGGGTAAGTCCCTTTGGGGAGGCAATCTATACCAACCAGTCTTTTAACAAGTTGCGTACGTAAGATCTCCAACCCGAGACCTTTGTTTAAGCTGGATCAGCACCCTGCCAACTGATCCAAACGATGGTCGGTAAGTTAACTTCAATCATAAACACCCCACAACCCACAATGTATTTCATTTTCGGACTCCATTTCACACAAAGACATTCAACATTGGCCCAAGTTTACAACTTAGAGATAGTAGTACTTCCTCTGTGCTATACTGTTACACCTCATGTTACACATTTAAATAATTTGTGTAGTAAATTCAAGAAATAGACAATCTCTAATCGTGAAAATGTGAAATTAATGTAACAAATTCGTGTCTTATTATTTGTTGAGTATATGGAGAATGTTCTGATTGCGTTTACTAATGCTTATTTAGAAAAATATATTAAAATTAAATGAAAGTATTACAAGAAATAAAAGTTTTTTAGTAACCTTAATCAAATTGTGCAAAAAGAGAACACAACATTTTTTAATTTTTTTTTTTTTAAATACTTGGATCTGAACAAGATCACAAAGAAAAGAGTTGGCGGGCCAGTTGAGAAATTAGCCCAACCGAACTAGGTAACGCATACCAGCCCAAGTAATGGACTCTGCTGATGAATGGGAGATCCAAGGAAGATTCGGATACACTGACCCGGGCAACCAAGGAAGAATTCCAACGTGCCGGGTTTTCCCCATCCACAGCTTGCTTCCCGGTGCAGAGCACAGAGAGTAAACCAGGCGTAACCCCTACGAAGCTCCTTCTCATACTGAAGACGATAGACAGTAACGACGTCGCATCGATCTGTACGTCTCTCTTTCGCTAACCCAATTATTCCTGTCTGACTTGCTTCAATTTAAGGGTTTTGATTATTTACTCCTTGAACAATTAAATTCCGAAAATGACGATTCAATTGGTCTCGCTGATCCAGCTCCGTCCCTTTATTCAATGCAAATTTACTAAAAGGGTTGCAATTTTCAGCTGAGGGCTTCTGTGATTGAGCACTTTGATCTTGTTTGAATTTTGATGTACTGTTTTTTGCTATTTGTTTTTGTTTTTTTTTTCCTCGGATAACGTGGTAAATGTCTAATGAATTTGAGTAGTTTAGGTTGGGAAGATTTGTTCGCATCAAGTTGAAGTTTGGCTGATCGCTGTGTTTGTTTGGGAACAGGAAAAGGAACCCTCAACTGGATTATGTCAACATCGAATGATGACAATTTGTCTTCTCATTCTCAGGTAACCAAGATATGCAGATTAGTATTATTGGGCTTTATGTTTTTTGTTTTTCTTTTTAAAAAGAAAAGTCCATGACGTATTGAGAATTATATGACATTTACCAATTTGTTGTTCTTTGAAATCCTCTCAACCTTCTTAGTTTGTCTATGTTTATATGAGTTACTGTGCATCCTCAACACATGACGGATGATTACTGCATCAATTACTACAGTTAATGTGTTGATGGAGTGCAAATACCAGATTTTCTGCATCGACTTTTTAGTGTTCAGTATCACGAGCTCTTTTTCCTCTTTATCAGTTGAACAACAGAAAAACAATGTGCTTATGTTTTTCAATCAGATACTTGGAGATGTGTATGTTTGTGCTAATATTATGTTTATTTTGGGTGCAATTGTAGCTGTCATATCAAGTTTTTGGAGAACTTCTTGATTCCATCATCGTTGATGTTGCATCGGAGTCTCATCGAATAGCAAGATTGGGTCTTGATCGGAACCTAGATGCAGCTGAGGAAGAATTGAGGCTATCCCTCCAAGCTCGGGGCAGTGCAGCTGACCCTAGTAGTAGTAGTGAAACAACCAGCAAATATGTCGTCGATATATTTGGACAAACTCATCCGCCTGTAGCAAATGAAATATTCGATTGCATGAACTGTGGTCGATCAATTATGGCGGGAAGGTTTGCTCCTCACCTGGAGAAGTGCATGGGAAAGGTAGTTTTTACATGTCTTCATCTGCCTTACCAGATGTGTTTAGGGCTATTCTTAGTTTCATTATTTTTGTGGATTGTCCTTGTTTTGATCTAAAATCCTTGATACATTTTGTGCTAATATCCTCTAAATTGAAATCTCATTCAATTTCAAACTGTATTTTAATGGATGCAGGGCAGAAAGGCTCGTTTGAAAGCAACAAGAAGTAGCACGGCTGCACAAAACCGGCACTCACGAGGCAGCCCTGGTTCTGCTTACTCTCCTTACCCGAATCCCAACAGCACTAATCGTCTATCAAATGGAAGTTTGCATGTCACGGGTGATGATTACTCAAATGGTACACTAGAATAGCCGCGACGTATTTTCAATGAAGCGGCAGCATATTACCAATGGCACTTTGAGTCGCTGGAGGCATCTTCCGCAAGATAGAATGTCACACTAGAAATATCTGAGGCCTCTTAATTCCTCATCTCACAGCATCATTTGCCGCTGTTGAAATATATCGTGAAATATTTGTCGGTGTTTCTCATTTTTGTTTAAGCACTAATTGTTGACAACTGATATAAGCCAACGGAAGTGGAATAGAGGTATTGTAGTTTATTCTGTGGGACTTGCACCTTAACTGGAGATGAAGGTCCATCTGGTGTGAATTTTACCAGTGTCTTTTTCAGTGCATTTTATTTGCACCAGAAAGGTATCTATTAAGCCTGTCCACTTCATTCAGAATTAAAAAGGGAGGATTTCATGTCTCTGTCATTCCCGAAAGCATTCCTTGAAGATTCTAAAAGATTGATCTTTCATAGTGAGAGGAGATGCTTGTACATATTCATTTTTGAACCAAAGAAGAATAACAATGTTTGCTCGATGACAATATTGAGAGTGAGGTTCCTTAGAGAGGGGTGTCATCACGGATGATGGTTTTCATTTTAGGCATATTGCTGATGATCGTGTGTTGTGGGTCGTGTCCCCTTTCCATCTTTCGGCCAAAGCTTTCTTTATCCAAATTCGATTTATCGTAATTTTAATTTTGAAATTAAAAGTAGCTAATAAAGATTAAGGTAAAATGGAATATAAGAAACTTCCAGAAACTATTTGATATGGTATATGTTCTATTGAAACTCTCCATTCGTCTTAGGCTTTTAGCCATGAAAGGAGCAGATCCTGAGGTCACTCCTGACTCTTCAAGAGTGGGAAAAAGTTAAAAGGGCACAAGTCAAAAGACGGCAAAAGTAAAAATTCCGTTGCCGGGATTTGAACCCGGGTCTTTCGGGTGAGAGCCGAATATCCTAACCGACTAGACTACAACGGATTGATGTTCACGATAAGCTAAAACTTTTTCTTCAAGATTGTTTTATGCAGCCAAACGAAATATCCCAGTTATGTTGTAGCCATTACAGCATGAGATTGCTTGATAATGATGCTATGTTATTGTTTGGTAAGAAGCACAACAGTCAAAAAAAAAATAAAAATGATTAACCATCAATCCACTTAGTTTTCAGGAGGTATAAACACTCGTGAGTCGTGACAAAGGTAAAATATTTGAATGGAAAAGAAAAAAACTCAGGACATAGTACATATTTTACACAAGCAAATGCAGATTTAAGATAATTAGCGGGAGGCTTCCAGTAGCGTTACTTCTCCTCTTATATAATTACCTGCACTTTCAGATGGAAGAAGTGTAAACATTTACATTGGAAAATTCATTCAGACTTGCCTAAAAAATCAAAATCCACCCCACTATTTTTTTTCTGCACAACTTTTAAAATGACAATTACAAGTAAAGGTGAAGTGGAAGTTCTCAGTTCCACCCAAATGACAAGGAGGATCTTGAGGAATGGTGCTCAGTTTCAAATTGTGGTTGCTTATGGAGTTTCAAATTCCACAGCAAATTACTTTCCGGAAACTTTGAGGAGAGTGGACTACTTATTGAATTCCTATGAACTAGATGAATAACCGATTGATTTTCTATAAACTTATTTGTACTTTATGCACACAAGCCCTCTTACAAGCAAAGTTTACAAATGGTTCGAGCAACTTAGTAAGATTAAGCAGCGTAGCACAGTTTCTGACGCATACCTTCAATCAGGAGATAGGGCAATGAGATTGGTAATGACCTGATCTTCCACAAGAATAGCATTTACCTCTTAAAACCCGCTTATTTTTCCTACCATCAATAGCATTGTCATGAGACACTGAATCATCAGCCTGATTCTTTTCGAGAAGTTCCTTGAACTGACCAGCATCTCTCACCTCCTTCCACACATTATCATAGCTCCAACCATTCTCCTTGTCCGTACTCAACTTCATCTCCAATGCTGACGCAATTTGATCCCACGATCCTGGCAAACTGTTCATCAGAACAACTGATCGCATCTCACTGGGAATATCCATCCCTGAACTCCTCAGCTTTGACAACAACACGTCCGTGTCACGGAGATGATTCATAGTCGGAGTTTCATCTGACATATAATGGCTCATATACCTCTTCAGTCGAACCAACTTTTGAGCAGCTGAAGCAGAATTAAAGAATGCTTCAACAGCAGCCATTAGAGATTTGGCAGTGGGGTAGTCATAGAAGCTGAGAAACACATCATCCTCCATTGTGCCAAGGATAAGGTGGCGGCATGTGAAGTCATCAGCGTGCCACTTTTTATAACGAAGGGCATCTTCCTCAGAACCAGAGTCGGCAGGATCAGAAGGTTCAGGTTCTTTGAGCACATAGTCAACTCCGATATCTTCAAGGACATCAGAAATTTCAAGCTTCCATGTAGTGAAAGAATTTGGTCCATTGTAGCCAATTCTATAGTTTGTTTTCAGATCCGGATACCAAATTTCGGTGACAGTTGGTTCAGATATAGGAACACCAAAAGGCCCAAAACTGACTGAAAAATCCTCCTGCTTTGGTGATCCTGCATTACATGGAACCAATTACAGTATTCAATGCGCTTCTTCCATGTAAGGACTACATATACAAACTGAACATTATTCGCGTGCTAAGGAACAACACCATTCAAAATCGCAAAATAGGAAAAATACCAACTGCTTATACATTTCCAGCCAACAATCACAATAAATCAGTTACCATAAGAAGGATCAAAAAAGTAATCAACAATGAAAAGATTCGATTAAATTGAAAGTCAACACGCGAAAGATAAAAATTAATTTATGATTTAAGTATCGGTAAACACCTTGATCAGGGCAATCAGACATGTAATGGCCTTGCTCCCCACAACTGGAACAAACACCATTCGCCCTCTTCCTCTTCTTCTCTGAATCGATATAATTATTGAGCTGTTTAACATCTCGAAGGGTCCTCAATCTCCGGCTGAAATTAACAAAACTCAAATCTTCTTCACGTCCATCCAAGTCCCTCAACAATCTCTCCACGTCCTTCCCCCACTCCTCCGGCAAACTATTCAACAAAAACGTCGCCTGAACATCGTCTGGAATCTTAATCCCGGCACCATACTCAAGCTCTTTAGCAATAGCCCGCATTCGGAATATATGCCGATTGATCTCCGTGTCCGGATCCATTCGGCAACTCATGTAGCGCCTGAGATTGATTGCAGGGAAACGTTTCAACGTCGGACTGAATCGGCTAAGGAGAGCTTCCATGATGGATGCCGGGGTGTGGTTCTCGCGGAACTCGTTTCGGAGGTTTTCGTCCAGTGATCGGAGAATTAGACGCAGGGCGTCGGGGCTCTGGTCGTCCCAAGTGGGATCGGCCGGAGAAGGGCTGATGAGGTGGGGGAACTGGTGGTCGGTGAGGACAAAGGCAAATTTCAGTTTCCAGATGATGAAATTACTGCCATCGGATGAAAGCTTCTGGGTTGTTCGGAGCTCCGGGTAAACAACGTCGGAGACCTTACCCATGATGATCAAAAGATTTCCGAATGGAAGACGTCGGAGATAGGACGGTTTTTTACTGTAGAATTTGTATTATCACCTTTTTGGCGGCAGTTGGTTACAGTCCCGGTCAACTCCTTTTAAGTGGCCGTCAGTTATTTTTACATCTTAACTAATCTATCATCTTCTTAATTTTCTTGCCAATCTTTACCATGTATAGAGATGAAAATTTTTCTGGTACTTCTTATCACGAATCTTTCTCTTTTCAAATCAATTTTTTTTTTTTTTTTCGTTAGGAAGGAAAAACTTCTACAAGTATAAAATATACAAAAAAAAAAAAACCATAATGGATCTATCGCAGTTATCATACCAAATATGCCGCTTACAAGCTTTATCTTGGAGATAACCTATTTTAGTTCCTTTAAGATGGAAATGATATAATATTGTGGCCAAGGAAAAAGAAATTTCAATATTAATCATGAGGAACAAAAGAGATGGCAATGTGGAAATTAGAGGGATCATAGATGATAGAATGAGCCGAACAAAGTCAAGCCAGAGAGAATAGACAGGGAAACATCTGGGCTACTCGACTACATAATTAGTTTGATTTTTGTTTGGAATCGAATTTTGATTTCCATAATTTTTTGGTTTATTTGTTTTCTGCATTGTCTTTTTATTAAACTTGCCATCATCGATCAAAATTATCATCCAAGAGTTCGAATGAAGAATAAAACGGGAGTGTAGAGAAGAGGTGAGAAAAAATTTCACCTAAACTGTAAGGCTCTGTTTGGTTGGATTGAATTGGACCCAAAAATTGAAATTGGAGGCCCTCAATTCCAATTATTATGTTTGACTAAAAAAATAGAGGTTCCGAAATTAGAATTATAATTCAAGATGAGGCTCAATTCTTTATTTTCAATTCTTTTGTGGGAGCAAATAATTGCAATTCGAACTCTAGAAGCTTTAGAAAAAACGCGGGTCACATACGGGTTGTTTTCCAGGTTATAACGAAACGGGTCCTTTTAAGTTTGAGGTTTTGTTTTGTTTTTTTGTTTTTTTTTTTGAAGCGCTGCACATGCGCTATTTTTCCTTTTTCTTTTTCGTTTTTTTCCCCTTTTTCTTTTAGCACTGGGCTTTTCTTTTTCTTTTTTTTTTTGCATTTTGTTAAATTAACATATTTTTTTATTTATGGTGCAAACGAGGTGTATATCATATTAATAATTATTAATGAGATCTATATATTAAAATTAGTATTCTTTTAACAAAAACTATCAAATGTATAACGACACCCGTAATTTATTTTAAAAATAGATGGTATTAATTATGGGTTAACATTTTTTTTATCAAATGTATTTTAAACTATACTTGAAATTTCTTGCACTAAAAATTATGTAAGCTTTCAAGAAGTCGAAATATATATTATTCCATATGTAATTATATACTAAAAATAAAAAATAATTAATTAGCACCATGTATTAATGTTAATCTATACATAAATGAATGGTCTTTACTTTCAACTATATAAAAATTTTACACTAAAATCGAAAAAAAAACTAAAGATTAAAAATTTATAAAATAATAAAAAAGAGAGGAACAAGGATGTTCTACATGTTACTTGTGAGAATTCCAATCACCACATTCATACTTACGTAATAATAAAAAAAGGTTTTCCACAAGTATGTATGTATCTATAAATTATAAAATTGATATATAATACTCAAACAACAAAAGTTCTAATATAAATTTATATGATAAATTTATTTTTGTTATCTTATATATGTAAGTAATAAATTGCTTTGATATATAAAATTAAGTATTTATTTTATTCAATGAAATAAAGTACTAAACTATAGTTAGATAATAAAAAATTAATTCTAATTCTAGATTTTATAAATTTATAAGGATCCAAACATAAGAATTGGTATTAGAACTTTAATTCTAGTCAATTCTTAAGATCTTCCAAACGAAAGAATTAAGATTGAATTGCAATATTAATATCTCATTTTCAATTCAATAGTATTGTAATTCTAATTCAATTACAATTCAATCTAACCAAACGGAACTGTAAAGAATATTGGTAGGAAATGAGATAGATTATGATAATTAATAGAGTTGAAAAACTTAATATAAGGGTAATGTTGGAATTACAAGCAGATTTGCTCTCAATATAAAAAACTTGCTCTCAATTTATCTATTGCCAACAAAATATTCTTTTTCAATAGTAACAGAATATGAATTATTGCAGTAATGTCAAAATGTCAACCATATATGTATGATTGATCATCATTCATCAATGCCCCTTTTTGTTGTTGCCAGTTGCCACCACCAGCTAGTGCACACTAGCAGGCCTTTTTTACAGTATATTTCCTTAGGGGGTTAGATTTTAAAATGAGTTGTGGCTTGAGTGAGTTAATTAAAATTAAAAAGTTGTATTTTTTGAAATTGGATTATTTTTTTAGGACGAAAAATATCATTTTGAATTTCATATAAAATAAGCATTATGCATTCAACTAGAAAGTATACGCTATAATAATAACTTACTATAAAATCAAATGTCGTGCTCGTGCCACACGCGCTGTCTTCTATAGACGATATGCTATATGCCATGCGGCCATGGTACAACCAAACCTTATAAAATGTTAGAGCTAGACGTACATATAAAGTACGAAAAATATATGTAAAGGAACCAAAATATCACGAAGTAGAATTACTGTGTCCTGCAACTTATGTACTCTCTCCGTTACATAATTATTGTCCAGTTTGGGTTTTCATTCGTACTAAAAATGAAATCTCAAAGTGAACAATAATTTTGGGACAGAGGGAGTATCTAATTGAGTATGCAACAATTCTCAAACTATTAGTTAAGCGTTGAGATAGTAAAAGTATGTGCTAACACATGATCTTTGCATATTAGTATGTTGTAGATCATTAGTTTAACCTTTGTCTTTATTCACGTATCGGTCATAAAGAATCCGGAAATTTTATCTAGCTAGATATAGAGGAATAGGATGATCGAACTAGATGAACAGAATGGAATCGATTTTGTTGATCAAAACAGAAATTGAATTGATTTTGTTGATCTGACCAAAATTCTTAGATCAGGAAAGCAACTGTATGCAGGAAACCAAAATAAAATATCTTCGCCATCAATCCATTTGTTTCTCAAACGTGTACATCCTCTTGAAGAAAAGGTCAAGGATGTTTGAAAGGGGGAGAAAATTGCTCCAAACTTGAGTGAGTTTAGGGGAGAGGTACAATTTACAAAATTTGCGGAGCAGTTTAGCAGCTTTCAAGCACTTCACTTCTCACCTAATCAATACCTGCAAATTGAGATAGAATATAATTGAAACTTATGATTACATTGGAAAACATATTCAGTCTTGTTAACCATCACACTGTATCCTTGAACAACTGGCATTTCTCATTCTCACACAAACATTTTCCAAATGACAAAAAGCTGAAGGAATGGTGCTCTGTTCTGAATGGTTGCAACTTATGGAGGCTGAAAGATGATGACAAAATGCACCAAATTAACTTCATACCGGGAAATTTAATCCTTTCAAGTTCATTTACAGGAGGTTATACAGAAATGATTGTACTCAAAACTTTTGCAAAAACACAAGTGAGGAGTACATGATACATGCAAAACCCTCTTAAAATGCAAAGAGACAGTATATATAATCAGCACAGTCAGGCAAACCCTAAGAATGATAAAAGGAACTTCACGATTTAAGCGTCTCAACACAGTTTCGGATACATACCTTCGATCAGGACAATCAGACTGATAGTGACCTGGTCTTCCGCAAGAATAACAATTACCTCGTATTTTTTCTGTTACCACCAGCGTTATCATGTAACCTTGAATCATCTTTATAATTCTTATCCAGAATTTGCTTCCACTGTCCAGCATCTCTTACCTTCTTCCACACATTATCAATGTTCCAACCACTCTCCTTATGCATACCGAGATTGAACTCCAATGATGTCACAGTTTGGTTCCATCATACTGGCAAACTGTCAAGCAGAAAAACTGATTGCATCTCGCTGGGGAGACACAAACCTGAATTTTTCAGCTTCGCCACCAGCCGGTCCATGTTAGTAAGATGACTGATAGTCGGAGTTTCCGCTGCCATTTGATGGTTCACATACCTCCTTAGCCCAACCAACTTTTGAGCAGCGGAAGCTGAATTAAAGAATGCTTCAATAGCATCCATTAGAGACTTAGCAGTAGGGAAACCATAGAAACTGAGAAAGACATCATCCTCCATTGTCCCGAGGATAAGGTGGCGGCAAGTGAAGTCATCTGCACGCCACTTCTTCATACGACTAATATATTCCTCAGAAGTGGATTCTGAAGGATCAGAGGGTTCTGGTTCTTTGAGCACATAGTCGACTTTGTTTTCTTTAAGGACATCAAAAATTTCTCTCTTCCATACAGCGAAAAAATTTGATCCCTTGTAGTCAATTCTAAAACGGTTTTTCAGACCCGGATATAATATCTCTGAGAGGGTTGGTTCAGAACATAGGAATGTCAAAACTGAATACAGAATTTTCCTGTTCTGAAGAACCTATAGATCATGGAAACAAGTGAATTACTCAATGCATATATAAACCCAATTCAAACACACTGTGGCAGTGAACAACACGCTTCCAAATAGCAAAACATGAAAAACTGAACATGTAAATTGAGGCCATACGGATTACGGGAATTCTAGAATCCTAGCAAACATCAACAAAAATAAAACTACCATTTCGAAAAAGTAATCAATAATATAATAAGATTCGGTAAACGGAAAGTCAATCCATGAAAGATATTATCAAACACCTGGATTAGGGCAATCAGACTGGTAATGGCCTTGTTGACGGCAACGGTTACAGAAATCAATCACCATCTTTTTCTTCTTCACCCATGATTATAATGCTTTAGGGCTTGAGTACATCTTGAAGAACCCTCAACTTCCGGCTGAAATCCACGAAGCCCAAATCCCCTTCACGTCCATCCAAGTCCCTCAACAATCTCTCCACGTCCTCTCATTCCTCCGGCAAACTATTCAACAAAAACATCGCCTGTACGTCGTCCGGAATCTTAACCCCTGCACCGAACTCAAGCTCTGTAGCCATAGCTCGGATTCGGAAGATGTGCTGATTAATGTGCGTGCCCGGCGCCATACGATAATTCTTGCAGAGCCTGATATTGATTCCGGTGAAATCTTTTAACCTAGAATTGGATCGATCGAGAAGAGCAGCCATGATGGATGCCGGCGTGGTGTATTTGCCGAATTCGACCAGTAGGTCTTCGTCAAGTGATCGGAGAACCAGCCACAGAGCGTCGCGGTATTTGCCGAATTCCAGCAGTAGGTCTGGTCGTTCCAAGTTGGGTCCGCCGGAGAGGGGTCGATGAAACTGGTGATCGGTGAGGACAAAGGCAAATTTCAGTTTCCAGATGAGGAAATTATCGCCGGTCCATGAGAGTTTTTGAGTAGTTAGGAGCTCCGGGTAAACGACGGTCGAGACTCGAGACTTTGTCCATTGTTTCAAAATTTCCGAACGGAAAACGTCGTAGATCAGTGGTGTACAGTATAGAGGTTTTTTTTGGCGGCAGTTACATTCTACTATGAAGAAAGTCTCAGAAAGTAGATGGACTCGGGAACACCATTGAACTATTGGAGACTTCTTTCTTTATCGAGGGGATATGTGTACTACAGATTAGAAATGATTTTACCCAAAAACAAAAAAAAAAGCAATTAAAGATGAATATACAGTTTCCATAAATGTTTAAAGAATGAGTTTTTTTGTCCAATTTTAGACTCGGCCAAGGTTTTGAGTCTATAATTAATACTCCCTCCGGTATTTAATATAAGACATTTTGATTTGTCAGATTTTACTTAGTACGTATTTTTAATTGAAGAAAAAACCTTAAAAATGTATACTAATAACAATCAAAAGAACACAACAATTGTGAAAATATATTTTTAAGGTTTTTTCGTCAATTAAAAATACGTACTAGGTATAACTTAACACAAATCAAAATGTCTTATATTAAGGACCAGAAGGAGTACATGCTAATCGGAAATATTCACTTTATAACCCAAAATGACTACATATTTTTATGTTGAATAACTTGTATATATTTTTTAAGTATAATAAAAAAGGTAAACGTTGATAAGAAATACAAATTACATTATGGTCCAACCATGGTTATAAACTCCTAGGTGGATCATCTACCACCACAAATTACCAGAATTAGAGGCTGCTAAGTTAACGAGAGAATCCGCTATAAAACTCAGCTCTCTATACTTCAACTCCACCAACCAATCTCTCTATATATGGTGAATAAAATACTTCAAGAATACGTGGGTATATCTTAATTTTCCTCCAACAAAAAACTATTCTATTGGCCTCTACTGTCTTCCAATCGCCAAAATTATGCGCTTGGACGATTAAGCAACTAAGCTTCCTCCAAATTTTGATCCAAAATAAGCAAGCGTGACCAAAGGGATTTTGATTTAGTTGTTTCATGACTATCTCATCACCAATTCCATTTGTCTAAAAAGAAATCAATAATATATAGTAAGATACATTTGTGAACTATGATCGACACCTAGAGTTTTAATAAGAACTATTATTAGATACTGTTAACAAACTCAATTCAATCGTTTCTAACAACTCAAAACTTACTCTCTTGCAAAAAGCTAACAACGTTGAAAGAGGGAGAAATTTATGGCTCCAATGCTAAACTAGTTTGCGTCACTAGGGAAAAAGAAAAGGTTTACTCCTGCATTGGCGCATTTTCAGAACATAAGGGAATATCCGATTTACTCTCTCTCCGAAAATAATTATCTCAAAACTAGATAATAAATTTAGGACGAAGGGATTACAACACTAAGTGATAGACCATCTTCACTTCTTCCCGGATTACCTGCACAGTTCAGATAGACAAATGCATATGACAATTTCATTGACATTGTTACCAATCAGTCTTGTCAAAAACTTAGAATGCTAAGAAACTCGGCGTAAATTCAGATACATACCTTAGATCAGGACATTTGGATTGGTAGTGACCTGACCTTCCACAAGAATAACAATTACCTCGTAGAACCCTCTTATTTTTCCAGCCACCATTTGCATTGTCATGAGGCCTTGAATCATCAGCCTCAGTCTTTTCAAACATTTCCTTCAACCGGCCAGCATCTCTCACCCTCTTCCACACATTATCGATGTTCCAACCACTATTCTCCTTATCCATACTCATGTTAAACTCCAGTGATGACACAGTTTGATTCCATGATCCCGGCAAACTATCTATCAGAAATGCCGATTGCATCTCGCTGGGGATACACATACCTGAATCTTTCAGATTTAAAACCATCCGGTCCATTTCGTGAAGATGATTGAAAATAGGAGTTCCCTCTGCCATGCGATGGTTAGTATACCTCTTTAGCCGAACCAACTTTTGAGCAGCCGAAGAGGTACTAAAGAATGTATCAATAGCATCCATTAGAGATTTGGCAGTGGGATAATCGCAAAAGCTGAGAAAGATATCGTCATCCAATGTCCCAAGGATGAGGTGGCGGCAAGTGAAATCATCAGCATGCCACTTCTTAAATCGACGAGCATCTTCCTCAGAAGCAGAGTCCGCAGGATCAGAAGGTTTCAGGCTCTTTGAGCACATAGTCAATTTTATTGGATTCGAAGACTTTTGAAAGATCCCTCTTCCATACAGAGAAAAACTTTGATCCCATGTAGTCAATTCTACAGCGGGTTTTCAGTTGCGGATAAACAATATCAGTGAGAGTTATTGCATTGGCAAGGAAATCCATACTGTCTGAAGAACTTTCCTGTTTTGATGAACCTACATTGTTCGGAAACAAGTACAATACTTTTCCATGTCAGGAAATTCATATTTGGTGATAACATTAACGAAGCTGTTCTCAACTTCCGTGGCAACAAATAATAACAGTATTATTCTAAATTGGGAAAACTATAATCTTAATACGAAATCAAACATTAGACGCTAAAACAGCCAACATCCAAAAATAAATAAAAAATGATGATAATATAAAAGAAATATCCAATAATGACTAAAAACAATTCGGCAAACTCAACGTCAATCAATCAATCAGAGTGATACAATTAAGTGAGAGAAGAGACCTTGATCAGGGCAATCAGACTGGTAATGACCTGGTTTCCCACAATTCTTGCAGACCCTCTTCCTCAATTTCTCCCCATGGACGAAATTAGTCAGCTCCTTAACATCTTGAAGGACCCGTAACTTCCGGCTGAAACTGACGAAACTCAAATCTTCTTCACGTCCATCCAAATCCCTCAACAATCCGGCCACGTCCTCTGCCCAATCCTCCGGCAAACTTTTCAACAAAAACATAGCCTGCACCTCGTCAGGAATCTTAACCCCTCGACCGTGCTCAAGCTCTTTAGCCATAGCCCGCATCGGGAATATATGCTGATTAATGTGTGTGCCGGATTCCATACGGTGATACATGTAGGGCCGGAGACTAATTCCGGGAAACCTTTTCGACAACGAATCGAATCGGGTTAAGAGGGTACCCATGATAGAAGCCGGGGTGTGTTTTTCGAATTCGCTCTGAAGGAAGTTGTCCAGGGATCGGAGTATAAGCCACAGGGCTTCAGGGTTTTGGTCGTTCCAAGTGGGGTCCTCCGGGGAGGGATTGATAAGGTGGGGAAACCCGTGGTCGGCGAGGACGAAGGCAATTTTGAGTTTCCAGGTGAGGAAATTGTCGCCGACGAATGAAAGCCTCTGAGTGGTTTGGAGCTCCGGGTAAACGAGGTCGGAGATCTTGCCCATGATTTCAGATTGGGCAACGTCGGAGAACCGGAGGATTTTTTTTTCAGAGTAATAAGAGTATTTGGGAATTTAGGGCGTTTTTGGCGGCAGTTCAAGTTCAATTGGTTACTGGAGAGATACGCGGGGCCACCAATCAAGAGAGGCAACAGTTTGTGCGGGTGCTAACAATTCTAGTCCTCCATCTTTCACAAAGAAGTACTTTTGGTTCCTGTTATTTTTTCCCTTATAAAAGTTCTCTCACGTTACATTTTCTAATATTTCAACGAATTCTAGCAAGTTCACTTGATGCCTTGATGGTAACCCAATTTATGAATCCAATGAATGGTGAATTGCACTCCCATTGTTGTATCTGATTCGATTTGTGACAGGGCCATTTCTATTCTCTGATGAATAACAAGCGTTTTAAAAGAAATTTACATGAGAAGGACTCGGAAAGAACTTATATATAAATTGTTGAAATATAGTATCTCATCAAAGACATTTTAAATATTGGTCTTCAAAGTCAACCATTGTAAGATGTTAAAATTATATAGATCTCCTTGCAATGAGCGTAATTGTAATTTTCACTTGTTAACCAACTAGAACCACATCTCAAATTAGGCCTGTTCATTGGGTCGGGTTGTACCCGACCCAACCGACCCGAACTTATTTGATTAGGTTTGGTTAAATGAAGTTCGGTGCTTTTGGTTATATTTTGACTAAACCAAAATGAGTCCAACGTTGTAAACGGGTGTGTTCGAATGTTCATTTTCACTCCCAACATTGTTAACGTCACCCGTTTTCACTCCCATTTTCACTCTCCAAATCCAAATCCAAATCCAATCACCGGTGACCTTCCTCAAATCCAATCGTCGGCGACCTTCCGACACCCGTAATCTTCCTCCCTCAACACAGATCGGTCACGCATCATTTCTTTTTTCAGATCTAGCCGATTCACCTCTTCGATTCACTCTCCAAATCCAAATCCAAATCCAATCACCGGCGACCTTCCTCAAATCCAATCGTCGGCGACCTTCCGACACCCATAATCTTCCTCCCTCAACACAGATCGGTCACGCATCATTCTTTTTTCAGATCTAGCCGATTCACCTCTTCGATTCTTTGAAAATTCAGGTATGCTCTCCAATCTTCATCCTTTCTTTCCTCCATTTTCATCCGACCTAAAAAGAAAAGAAAAGACGGGGTATAGGGTTTGTGGATTTTTTGTGCTCAAATTCATTCAGTCAATGCTTAAATCGTTTCTTTATTCGGTTATATATTTTTTCTTTGATTCATTTTGTGTTGCATGATAGGTTTTTTTGAGTCTGTGGTGGAGGATTTGACCCATGAGTCGTTGGGGCTGATTCTTTTTTTTTTCCTCTTCTCATCGGACTGTGAATCTTCAATTTAGTCAGGTTTGTTTCCTTTTCTTTGTGTTTCTACTGTTTTACTGTCTGGGTTTCTGCTGGATTGAACTGGGCTTATCGTGTTTTTATCTCAGCTGAGCTTAATTTCTTTTTCTCTCTTTTTTTTTTTTGGTTTGGGTTTCCTTATCTGAGTCTTATTATTTTGCCTTGAATCATGGGTTATGCTTAATTAAGGAACATGTCAATGGTAAACCCTTTTAAATAAATCATGGGTTATGCTTATGTAAATGGCAGAGAAGGTCTAAAACTCTTAAACAAGTTGGTTGAGACTGGGTATACGATCTGCAAAAAAGTTAGGTAAATGAACCAACAGAAGTATTCCTTGTTATTCCCATTTGTTTATTAATAAATATATGAATTTGAAAAATCCATGTGATGAGTCATCCTATGGTTATTGAGAAAAGTTACAATTGTGTTGTGATATGGAGACTAATTTGTTTATTAATAAGAGTCTTTATTTGTTTATATGTTGGTAGATGCTTTATATTTTCTGATATGAGTGAAATATATTTCTGATCTAGCGAGAAGTGAGTTAAGTCTGTTTATTTATAGGTTGGGCCATGGTAACAGGATGTTTTTTTGCAGGTTTAGTATATCCGTTGTCGTTTGGTGGTATTTAATTTTGTCTAATTATGATTCGTCTTTGCAGGCTGCGGACTCCCGTTTTAAGGGGCATGAGCGTATTCGGTATACCAAGGATCTCCTCCTACAGTTGAGGGAGGTACTGATTGCATATTCTTCTTTCAGCACTTGTCTTTATTTCTGTGTCCATCTTTGTTAGTGCATTGCTTTCATTGGTAATGCAGATAATATTTTGACTGTATTTCATCTTTAAATAAAAAAAAAACCATTTCAAGACCTTAATTGATTTTATTCTTCAGTAGCACTTGGTTCAAATTACTGAAATGAACTTTTAGTCCCCCCCTCCCCCTGGTGGTGGAGGTCCATGTTGGAGAATTTCTGTTTGTCTGGTGTCTTAATATAGAAATTGCATTGATGCTATTCTATTCAATTCAACACCGTGTCATGGTGTGGAAAGACTTTAACTTTTTTTGCTAGTTTTGGAAGCTGCTTGTTCTCTTTTGGTTTGTGCTAGATGAGTTGGTGTGCCTTGGTATTGTCCTTTACAATGGTTGAATGATTACATTTTGGTTTCCATGTGTTCCAGTGCATCTTTAATTGCTGTTATTGAAATCAACTTAAACTGCCTGATTAGAGGATGTTCGATTACCTGATATTGTTGCCTACTTAATTCGTTTGTTATTGGATATAGGTGGTCAGTATTCCGAAGACATTCTAAAAGTCAAAAATGAAGTTGAAACTGAATTTTTGGCGAAGATCCAACACAGGCCCGGGTGGAACCAAATGTAAGTTTGTTTGGATCATACTCTTTTGCCCACGTAATCTTTACATGCAAAGGAGTAATTATCGATTCAACTTGCTTGGAATGTGTCGATATCACTAAATTGGAATTTGGAATTTCGTTGTCTTTTTCTTTCTCATTACTTCACCTTTCTCTCTATAGATAACAAATTCGCAGAACCGGTACTCGAGCCGGACAATTGTGGTCGGCGTAGCCGGCCTTCACTAGAGAAAGCCCCAGAAGAAAGATCCTGGGAAAAGCACAAGGAACAACCTAGGCACCAAGATCCAAATCAGTATAATCCACGGCAGGAGCCACCAAAAGCCCCATTTGCAAGATCTCCGGCACCTGTGAACCTAGTGGTAAGTTTCAGGTTATGGTTTCAGTTTAGAAAATTATTCTTATCGTTACTGTTAACATTTTCTAAGTACCCGTTTTGTGCTTTTAATTTTTTTTTTTTGTGGTAACAAGAATAGAATGCCATTATTGCTCCTATACCTTTGTCTTATTTATTTCAGAAACAATTTAAGAAATTTTTATTTTTTAAGACTCTGCTGTCGTTTCTGATGGAAGTTTGAATTGAGTTGAACTTGTGAACAAGTTGTAGCTTTCAAAAAATCTTTTTTTTTTTACTGTGCTATGTTGATGATTGCACTGCTTTTTTTGATTGAAATCTTTGGTATTTTAGTTTTTGTTGTTTGCGTACTCTTCTTCCATGTAATAAATTTACTGGATCTTGTGACTTAGTACCTTACATTTGGGCTGGATGATCAGGTAGACTAATAACGTTTTCCATTTCCAAGGCATGGCCTATTTAAGTGTTTTTTATCCTTTAGTTCCAAACTACTTTTCCAAGTAAAACACTGACAAAGATTGTATCAATATGTTTTTCAGGATTACATATGAATTCATTCTGCTCCTACTTTTCCCTCCCCCTCTACCCCTTTTCCCTTGGCTTGTTCTTCATCTATTGATAATTCAAGCGACATGGAGCCTTTTGCTATTTTGCAAGAAAAGGTTAGGAGGGAGATGAAAAAGAGAAAAACAGAGAAAGTATTGAAAGACTATAAATCTGAGTTGGATAAATATTTAAAGGAAAAGATTGAAGCCAATGTGGCTGGATTTGATGTGTTGAATTGGTGGAAAGTTAATGGTTTTAGATTCCCAATCTTGTCTCTGGTTGCTCGTGATGTATTGGCGATTCCAATCTCAACGGTGGCCTCAGAATCTGTGTTTGGCACAAGTGGTCGGGTTATCGATCCTTTTAGGAGTTCCTTAACTCCTGAATTGATTGAAGCCTTGATTTGCACGCAAGATTGGCTTTGTGGGGATCAATCACCCGTAAATGTTGAAGGAACCCTTGAAGTACTTGAAGAAAGTGAAGAAGGTTGTATTTTTGTGTTTTAACTGCTTTGTGTTGAATAATTTAACTTCTATTATCATTGTATGGAATGTTGCTGATTTTACTTGTCTTTATTTTGTTTCTATAATGCAGAATTCACTAATATAGAAGCAGAAGATATGGAGGAAGAAGATATAGGGATTTCAGGTGCAGAGATTTCAGAATGATTGTTTGATGACTAAGGTAGTTTTCTTTCTGCAGTAAAGTGAATTTCCAAAGATACAGCTATACTGTTTATCATCAGCAAGTTTTCTTTCTGTCTGAGTATTGCTGTAACTATATTGTTTTTCTTTCTTCTTGTTGTTGCTGTTACTTGAAATTAACTGTTTGGGTATTGTTGCCCTTTTTGTATTGAGGGTTTTAGCACCTGACACTAAGAAACTTGCCCTTATTCACATTTACATTAGCTGATGAGAAGGTTCGGGCTTAATCATGTTTTGTGTTTCAAGTGAATCTTCTTCCCGCGATCTGTAACTGCCTTGAAAATAACAAAAAAGGACTGTTTATTGCTGAACCAGTGATTTAAGAACTGTTTTGTGAATTTTAAATAGCATATCAGTCGTTAATTTGAAGTTTTCTGCCAGGTTTGGATTACAGGCCTTCTGCATTTTGTAACACACAGAAGAGAGAGGGAGAAGGTTTTTATGCGTACTTCAGCTGCTCGAATATCTTACTAGATTCAGTAAGTTCTTGAACCTCACAATTTTGTAGCAGTGCAAGTCCAGTGGATTCTCTTGCTTCTCATGTTTAATACAGTTGTTGGAGGTTTCTTGATAGGAAACGTAAGTACAAAACTGATCACAAGACTTTACTCTTATTTACATTGTTC